CCACTGATGTGCTTAAAAAATTTGGCTTTGAAAATCTAAAACCAAGTGTTACACCAATGGCGGCTGGGAAACTTGTTGCTAAAACTGAAGGGAAGCTTTTAGAAAATCCTACTGAGTTCAGGAGTGCAGTAGGAGCTCTTCAATACTTGACACATACAAGACCTGATATCACGTTTGCAGTAAATCGAATCAGCCAATATCTTCAAAGTCCAACTGATGCACACTGGAACGTACTAAAAAGGTTGTTCAGATACATCAAAGGAACACTTGAAATGGGAATAATTATCCAAGAAACACAGGATTTCAACATAGTAGCATATGGTGACGCAGACTGGGCTTCATGCCCAGATGACAGGAAATCAACGGTTGGTTACTGTGTATATCTTGGGGGTAATTTGATTTCCTGGTGCTCTAAAAAACAACAGGTGGTGGCAAGGTCCACCACTGAGGCAGAGTATAGGACCTTGGCTCACACATCTGCAGAAATTGTATGGATCGAATCTTTACTACTAACAACAGGTGGTGGCAAGGTCCAGCACTGAGGCAGAGTATAGGACCTTGGCTCACACATCTGCAGAAATTGTATGGATCGAATCTTTACTACATGAACTCAAGATAGCACAGACAGAAATTCCCAGAATCTGGTGCGATAATTTAGGAGCTAGTGCTCTAGCATCCAATCCTGTTTTTATCATGCCAGAACCAAGCATATTGAACTCGATGTTCATTTCGTTCGTGATAGGGTATTAGCCAAGCAACTCATAATTAGTTATGTTCCAACAACAGACCAAGTTGCTGACATCCTAACAAAACCATTATTGAATTCCAGACATCTCTATCTACGGTGCAAGCTTGGAATTACAGAGATAATCTCCAGCTTGAAGGGGGCTGTCAGAAATAAGGATTCGGTGGACCAAAATGCATGCAATGAAAAGATAAGGATTGAAGAGACAAGTGGTAAATAAAAGAACAAAAACGTAATAGCAAGAAACACGACTTACCTTACCAGAAATGTGTGAAGAAAGATTCGGCAGTACACTCTCCAACAGCATCTCACCAGCACTCACAACGGTCCTTTATTCTTGGGATCTGATTTATTTTGTGCTAGGCCCTTAGCTGTAGGTTTGTTTTGTATGTAATGTAAGTAATTAATTTCCTGTGTATAAATAGTTGTATTAGGTGATTACTTTGATAGAAGTTTTTGAGTAATAAAGTAAGTTCGAATTCATCATCTTCTTTATCAATTTTCTGGTTTTTATCTGGTATTTGCATCAAATGTTAATTGGCTGCAACAGCAGCAGCCTTCTGATTTGCTCCATGGCCTGCAGTTGCTGATACTCGGGCCAAAATGTGAAGGAGAAGAGGAAGAAGAAGAAGAAGAAGAAGAAGAAGAGAAGGACTTGGAAGGTCAGCACAAGCAAAGCAATTTACAGGAAGTTGTCATTGATGATAAAATATCTTCGTCTGCCACAGAATTGAGAAAAGTTGGTATACATTTCAGGACTCTAAGGCGAGGTTATGGAAGCAGAGGAATCAGTTTCTCAAATAGTATTTGGCGTTGCAAGGCATATCCGATTCTTTACTTGCCTCCTTTTTTGGTCGGAGATGATACAGAGACTAAGTTAATGTTTCAACGTCTCAGAGACTATGAAATCAGTCAAAAACTTGACAAAAGCAAACAGGAGGTTAGCTCCTATTTGTTGTTTATGAGCGAGCTGATACGTACGCCTGATGATGCCAAACTCTTTGGCTCCAAAGGTATCGTTCAAGCAAATCATCTTCAACAAAAACGCAAGCTGCCAGAACTCTTAAGAAGACTAGCTCCCGAGAAAAGCTATAATCAAAACCTTCGCCACGTAAAACTTCAAACTAGCGATTATTCTCCCCCACTTTGGACAAAATACTGGCAAATTATTAGTTTTGCCTTCATTTTAACAATACTGCAAACTGTTTACACCATTCTCCCATATTACAAAAGCTAGTCTATGATCAGCAATGTTTGTAATTTGATCTATTTTATATTTCCAATCAATTCTGTGTTTGGTTATATTTGAATTTCTCTCGACTGCGGAATGAAGTTTTAGGTTTTAGAGATGTGATAATTCAAACTGTCAAATGCTTATGGAGATCTTAAGCCATTTCTTGCTAGACTCTAAAGTAAATGTATCAATTTGAAATTTAGTTTATTAATATTATCATTTAACGCCACATTACATGGGATCATAAGACAAATAGCATTAATCTATTGCAGATATCAAGTCCAGATGCAAAGAAATCCAGTTGACCAATCACTTGCCCGTGTGTGAGTGTGGTGGGAGTCAGGGAGTGGTAAGTAGAAATAATTAGGTGGCTGTGTTTCAATTTCTACACCTGAAAAGTTAGTTGGGAATAGTAAATTGAATTATTGCAGCTTAACATTTTTCAGTAGTGGCCGATGGAAGTGACAAGTGGGGGCACTGGAAAGTGGATAAATTATTGCAGATTCTTGTCTTTGGTTTTGGCTGATATGTTACGTCAATATGAAATAATAGTTTGATTTGGCTGATATTTATTTTAATATTTTTTTTTTACTTGGTACCAATGAATATAATTAAAAGAAATATGGAAATTAAAATTATAAATTCTAAACATAATTTTAAGCTTTATTTACATAATTTTAAGCTTTATTTATTCTCAAAATTTTAAGTAATAATTCACAGATACAGTGAAAAAAAAAATTATAAATTCTAAACATAATTTTAAGCTTTATTTATTCTCAAATTTTTTTTTTTTTTTAAATTTAGTTTTTACATACTTTTTTGTACTTCAACCCAGTGAAGGAGTTAGAAATTTTTCCTTTTTTGGGATTTTTCCATTTGGGATTAGTTTTATTTGCAATGTGCCTCTGTATTGAAAAACCATTAACGAAGAATCTAAAGGAATAAAAGATGTTTGCTTGAATTGAGTCTAATAATAATTTTTAATTCGCACGTTAACATCGCATCTTCTGGATTATTTTCGGACTATTTTCTATACTCATCCATGTAGATTCTTGGTACACATATCGAGACATTGCTGGTAAATTTGAAACATGGCTTTTGGATTGAAAAATCGTTAAATAGTAAGTTCAAAATTAATAAGCCAACGATGGTTGTAACTCGAACTATTTTTTTTATCTTTTAATTTTCATTTTGGTCTCAAATCTTCCAACTTAATTTTGGCAATGTTTTTTTTTCTCTTCGAGGTAGGTTCTTAGTGCCGTATTGAAGTAATATTGTCAAACTTTGCAATGCATATTTCGAAATGAAAGTAAAGACGAATTCAAAATAAAGAGCCAAAAATGGCTTCAAGAATTGGATTCAAAATTTAATTTTTTATCTTTTAATTCTCATTATGATGTCACATTTTTCGACTTATCTTCTGGCTATATTATCTCAAAGGCGTAGGTTAATGGTACCGTTTTGAATTATTCATAGCAAACTTTGGAACGCATCTTCCAATTGAAAATTTGTTAAAAAAAAAAGAAAACGATTTTCAAATAACAAGTCAAAGATGATTGCTAGAATTGAATTTAATAATTTGGTTCTGTTTTAGTTTTTCAACACGAGTTTAATTAAATTCAATTTCACACATCTCACTTGTATAATTAAATATAAAAGTATGATACTCCATTCGTTTCATTAATATAGGCTGATTTTATTTTTCACATGGATAAAATTTTTTTATTTAATGTTATAAAAAAGCAATTTTTGCAAAGAATTTTCCTAGTTTTCCTTATTTAATGATAAATGTAGTTTCTACATTTATTCGAGTTCCTAAATGATGATATTTTGTTGTTATTTGGATAAAATTCTATCCAATTTATATTATATTGCATTTTGTAGGTTGATATGAATGTAAAATGCATAGTTTTTCATCTTTATTTAATACACTCGTGATTATTTTATGCCAAAATGTACTTATTAATCTTATATTTTGGTTTCGGTAGCAATTTGATGGACATAGTGTAATTTGGAAGAAATAAGTGGGAAAAGACCAAAATGAAAGAAAGCGAAAGTTCAGGGATTAAAGTGCAAATACTCAAAAGTCATGTTGAACCTCATAATGAAGATTTGAGAGTGTTAGAGGTCAATTGGATGAATAAAGAAGTCNACATCTTGAATCACCTCAACCGGATATCGGGAGAGACGTTATGACCAAAATACTAAAGGATATTCGGTGAAAATTATTTAAGACCATGCAGTCGCATGACTTTAGTACCATGCGGCTACAAGAAGAGCTTCAGGGAACTCCAGTGCCATTTTCAATTGTTCTATGCGATCGCAAGCCTCTAAACCATGTGGCCGCGTGGTTTATTCCCGACGTGAAAATTTTGGTTTCCAAATTTAAATCAACTACTTATGGAAACAACTATAAATACGTGATTTGCAACCCTATAACGCCTCCCATCTTCATTCTTTATTATTTTACTCTTAGAATCATGAATTGTAACTAAACTTTTACACTTGGTCGAAGGAAATTGAAACCTCAGAACCACATATAGTGATATCTAATTTTTTTTCTAATTGTTAATTCTTATTTTACGTATTGAATATTCTTTTGTACTTATTTTCATAATTGTTATGTTTAATTGTTAGGATGCCTACTAGTTTGTTATTTGTTACAATCTACCGCTAAGTTAAATATCAAATCCGTAATTGTTTGATTCCTTTAACTTGTGAAACATTAGGATTTGATGATTTTCTGCAATAGAGATTATTGAATCTCAAAAAGAATGTTTAAATAGAGTAAATGCAACCGCTGGTGCTTGTGTTATCTAGTTCATCGATTTTTCTATTGTGTAAAACTGTTATTAAATTGAATCTCGAGTGCTAGTTTGTGGTTATTTAATAATTAGGATTAGTTAGAACACCGGTTCTAATTAACTAAAATTAAGGAGAAATAGGAATCAATGCCAACGATAAATATTCAAAATATGAATTGAATTACCATTGCATCTATGATCAATTGTGGATTTCTGACGGTGAATGTGGACTTAGACCAATGTTAGTCATTTGATTGTTTTCGTTAAATTAATTTTCATTATTATTGATTACGTTATTTACAATTCTTTAAATACAAAACCCCCTATCATTGTACGAATCATAAGATATTGAATTACACTTTTCGTGAGATCGACCCTTACTTCCACTACTACATTAGTTTTAGAGGTTAAGGTATTACTTTTGGGTGCCTGTCACAATAGACATCATATGTAAAACTTTATGTTTGATGAAAAATTGGGGGAAAGAATTCAAAATAATGAAAAAATAGCAAAATCCAAAGTATGGGAACCAAATTGACTATTGGATGCAAAGTTTGGAGATCAAATTTCATACTTTGAAAAGACTATTACTTGAAGGATAATATAACATTAACGGCTTTGAATTGGAAGCTCAAATTAAAAAGCCTATATTATATTATACACATACACATAGATAAGAGGGTTGGTTAAAAATATATTATATATTAGATACATACACGATGGCAAAAGGGGGAAAATACACATAAATAGAGAAAAGAGGAGAAAAGGGGGATGCAGGGTGTGTGTGTGTGTGTGTGTGTGTGCATACACACATACAGAGAGAAAACATACACGCAAGAAAGAAGAGATATAAGGGAGACACGAAAAAAGAAGAAGTAAAAAACGGCGGGTGTTGAAGAATATATATACACCGTGTATATATATATATATGCACACACACAGAGAGAAAATACACGTAGGCAGAGGAAGTGAAAAACGGTGGCTGAAATATATATACACACACATACAGAGAGGCAAAAAGAAAAATTGAAATTTTACATTGAAGTCAACAATTGCGGACACACACACACACACACACACATGCATACACACATAAAAGAGGAGGAGAAGAGAACTGCGGTTGTAAGACTATTATATACAAGAAAACGTGGTTGCAAAGAAGATTTATTCAAATAATCCGGTGATGTATTTAAAGACAATTTTTTGTGTTTATTTTTACATTATGAGCAACTCATTTTCATATTAGGACAAACAATGCAGTCGACTTGTGATCCTTTATTCTTCAATTCAAGATTTTTATGATTTATTTATACATGTATTGGTTTTACTATGAATTTAATGCATTTAATTAATTTATCACTAATTTAATGATTATGCGAGTCTCTTACGAATTAGTGGTGAGTTTGAGATTTAGACCATATAGTAAAATTCGGTAAATTAGTATAACGTATTGAGATACATGAACTAATTATTGCGGTCATAATATAAATTCTTAGAACTAGTGTTTCATTTAACTAAGATTGAGTTGCATAGGATATGGGATTTAGTTAGTTAACTAAGCTCAATGAGAACTCGAGATGGATAAATTAAATATAATAGAAGAATTCGATCGAATACTACATTAAATTATGAATCTTGAATTAAGAATTAAGGTGATCAATAGATGAAATTGTTAGGCCCCGACAGTTTTTCCACATTTGAATCTTCAATCAACTGTTTGCAAAATTTTGATATTTTCAAGTACTTAAAAGTAGTTAGAAAAAAATCACAACTATCATAATTCTTTAATTTCTTTTATCAAACAGGGGAGTTAGAAAAATTGGATAAAGTCTTGAAGTATAGTTCTCTTGGAAACGATATCCGGATTCAAGGGTCCATTATACTGCTTGTTACGATATCGTACACTTAAAAAACGCAACAAGTTTTTGGCGCCACTGCCGGGGACTATTTACTTTTAGTCTTAGTTTATTTTATTTTTAACTGTTATTTGATTTATTTATTTTCTTTTATTTACAGAAAAGGTGTTGGTTGTATGCTCCATACCCAAGGCTACAATCATGAACCGTTTGACTCAAAATAGAACGTACTTTTAGACGAACACACAAGGTATACAAACAAAAACAATAACATTAAATGGCCGACGATAAAAAATATTCCTATTCCTATTCAACAAATTGGACAAGTGGCCACAAGGGGAAC